AGATCCTCAAATGATGACCATAGGTCTCTACACAGGATTCTCTGATCTTTTTCAAGTCAGATATTCCCTCCTCTTCCTTACCTGACACATGATAATCCCCTCCTCTTTCAGATTTCCCCAAAAGTGTTAAAGCAAGAGCATCTTCTAGGCCCTATTGCCTGCTTCTCAGCCAGCTGTAGAGGTACATGCTCAGAGGAGTTGTGAGGTGACAGCTGGGGAATGGAAGAGCCTCCACACTCTGTGTGCCCAGGACACAAGAAACCAGAAGGCAAACTTCAGGCCTGGCCATCTTAAAATGGATGGGCAGCCAATTCACACATTAGAATATTTTCAAGGGCTGAATCACACATGCCCTGTGGGACTCAGTCTACTAAGCCAAACAGTCTTTGTACAGCTGGGACCAACAGAATGAGGACAAAGCAAAAACTCAAATTTGTCTGCAGAGAGACTCCTATTCACACACACACACACACACACACACACACACTGTCAATTAAGGCCAAACTAATTAATTCTGTTTTTTAGCTGCAGAGAATTATTCAAAATTTAGACCTGATATTTGAGTATTTGAGGCAGGGCAAATGATAAAAAATGCAGTTTGTATTTGAATGCTGCAGAAGATCAAAGAGTCTCAATAAAGATTGCATCTCAACATCAAGAACACAAAAATTCTCACCACTGGGTCAATAGGCAACATCATGATAGATGGAGAAAGGATTGAAATTGTCAACTATTTCTGTTAACTTGAATCCATAATCAACACTCTTGGAACCAGTAAGCAAGAAATAATTAAAAAAAAAAAACAAACCAACCATATTGTATTGGGGAAATCTGCAGTCAGTTACTTCTCCAAAGCGTTAAAGAGAAATGATGTCCATTCAAAGACTAAGGTGCACCTGATGCAAGTCATAATTTTTGCAATTACTTGTAATGCTCTTCAAAGGTGGACAATGACTAAGAATAACAGAAGAATTGATGCTTTGATTATAGTGCTAGAGATTATTGACTATCCTATAGACTGCCAAAAGAGCAAACAAATATGTCTTAAAGAAGGTGCAACCAGAGTGCTCCTTAGAGGCAAGAAAGGTCGAGGAAGCTGCGTCTTACCTACTTTGAGCATGTTTTTAGAAGGGACCAATCCTTGGAAAGAGACATGATCCTTGGAAAAGCAGACAGGCAGCATAGAAGAGAAAGATCTTCAACAAGATGAAATGGACACAGTGACTATAGCAGTGAGCTTAAGTACTTAAGAGATGATGACAATGACTCAGGATAGCGCAGGGTTCAGAGCTACTGCACACAGCGTTGCTTTGATTTGTAGTTGATTTGATGCCACATAAGAACAACAAAGAGCCCTGGTACTGCAGAGTTCAATGCTTTGCCGCTAACTGAAAGGTTGATGGTTTGAACCCACATAGCTGCTCCATAGGAGAAACGATCTAGTGAAATGTTCCTTTCAAATTGCTGTTAAGTGCCACTGAGCTGACTACAACTTGTTACAACCTTATGAGTAACAGGTGTTGAACTCTATGGGGAAGTTATACTCTGTCACATGGAGTTGTTATGAGTTGAAAAGTTACTGCTAAGGAACCAAACAATAACAGTAGGTATTTGCCATCTCTGGGCTGCATTTTCTTCTCCATCCTGCCTAAATAATGTAAAGCAGAATTCTGGAGTGCTGCCATACTAAGAATAATATTACACCAAGATTAAGAGAGTGCCTCTAGTTTTCAAACATCTAGATTTTACGTTCCCAGATGAAAGGTCCTAGATTTAGCAACATGCCTATCAGACTGGCACTGGTGTGGAAAAACTGGTGGAGATTCAGCGATATCATAATCCTGCCGGACTGACACGTCTCAACCTTTATTCCTCATGCTGCAAACTCTAACCTGCATCCACTCTGCAGTTTCACAGGAGGTGGGGCAGAGACAGTGGCTGGAACAAAAAGGGGCAAAAGAGGGCAACGACAGGAATAAACTACCACAAGGTCTAGGAATACAAGAGAAATTGTATCTCAAAATTCCTACCGTATGGAGCTTCTGTTTTCTTTCAAAAGAAAAAAAAACCCAACCAGTTATTGTTTTCATGGATTTGCAGACAACACTTCAAGTCTCAAAGGTAATTTTTATAAATAACTAAAAATTGCTGGCAAACCACTTATGCTCAAACACAGAATGACCACAGGCTGCTAGTTTTTAAGAAATGAGCAATGATCAAAACACCCAGAATTAAAGCTCCATTCGGTATGTAGACAACTTCACTATATTTTGATAGAGCTTCATTTGGGCTGTGGCAGTAACTTAATAAAGGAAATCCAGGCCTGTAGAAGTAGAAACAGGAGAGCATAAAGAAAATATGAACCATACCTGTGGAGCAGGCAGAAATATTTTTATTAAAGTAAATTGCTAATTTGAGTAGTTTGCTTACTGTCATGTTTCTGATTCATTAAGGTGAATGAATAGGTAAAATTGTATTTAGACTTCCGTGGCTGTTTTTTTTAGTTCTACACATGTGGAGTTACACTGCAAAATACATGACTGCAGAACGAAATTATAGCATATAGATTTCTTAAAGCGGTTGCCATAACATTTCAGAACTGAGAGGTATACATTTCAGTAATGGGAGTTAAGAAAATTTTGCAAATGCTCCTGGTGATTATGATAATTTCTGAATTTGTACCATCCAGGGAAGCAAGAGTACACAGCGATTTCCATTCTGTAGACTGTGATTTCTCTCACACTGGTGAATAAAGGCTCTCAGCCTCTTTCAGCTCCTCTAAAAGCTCATCTAACACCTGCAGTGACCCATTGGAGACCACAGGCAAATCGAAGTCCTGGTGTGTGGGCTTCAAGATGACACGGCAAATTAGTGAAAATGAATAATTAATAGTCTGATTGAATAGAAAAGGACTCAAGTGCCCACTCACTTCAGACAGCCCAGTGAGTAACCATCTTTGATTACAACAGGTAAAATGGCCTACTGGGAAATTATATTTAAAAAAAAGGAGCATGAATAAGACAATTATCAACTGCCATATTTCTTGTATAAGAGGAATAAATAGGTATGTACAGCCAAATTTTTAACTGCATTAGATTAACTACCTGTACTGGAGAACTTGGCCTGTTGCTTGAGTCTAAAAGGGTTAAGATACCACAAACATTTCACTTCTTAGAAGTAAAAATGTCTACATTTTCCATTGTTATAAACTGGACTTAGAAGTACAGAGAAGGAAGACTAAATATATTTAGCATTTCCGTTTTTTTACCAAATCAGCTTTGTTTGTCTTTTCTTGATAATTTCTGATAATGCTGTGAAATATTGGCAGTAAACTTGCCATTGAGTTTTCATAGATAAGGAGTCTTAAGTTTAGAATCCACAAAGGGAAAAGAAAATATCTTTGGCAGGAGTACTCAATGACAGGGCCAGATTATAATGTCTCCCAGTTAAAACTGCACATTTGAGTTTTAAAACCAAACAAAAGCCTCACTCTAGGCTGTTGCTGTTGTGCACCGTTGAGTTGCAACTAAATCACGGCTGACCCTCCAGCTGGCTTCTACAGGCAGTTAATAGCACAGAAGGAGACTGCCCATCATTCATCCATGGTACGTCTGGTGGATTTGAACTGTGTTCCTGTGCTTCAGCAGTACGACTCTTTATCACCAAGCCACCAGAGCTCCCTAGTTTGGACTAGTATAGAATAATATGTTTCCTTTTTACAAATATTACACTGTGAGCAGCAGTTCCTGAATCAGCATATATTGAATAAATACCAATGTAGTGATAGATATATGTGGGCATGTTAAAATATTTTTAACCAGTGTGCACTTTGTCTTTGAGCAATGATTTTTTTTTAAGCATCATAATTAATCAGTATCAAGCTGGTGATGTTTTAACTAGAACTTCCAGCTACTGTTCTATTTTAATTTTTATTTTCTATTAAATTAAAATACAGTCTATGACTCAGATTGATAGCAAGACAAAAATCACACAAACTCTGACATTTTTCACAATTTCCTTATCTTTTCTAATTATGTGTTTTAAATAAAAGGACAAGCTCATTACTCAGATTCTGTATTCCAAACGAAGTTGCCTGTTTTGCCTGCTTTTAAGGATTACCCAGAGAGGAAGTGTGGCCAATGTCAGACAGTGCAGCTAATGTCAGACCTTCACCTTCTGGGCACTTCACAGCCCTCCCAGGGGAAAGGAATTTTGCATTCTCAAATGCCAAGAATATGGAGGAGCACATGGGATTGACCGACTAGTAGAATCGTCCTGCATGTAGAACAGTGCCTGGCATGCTATACCAGCTGTTGTGGAGGCAACGCCAATCCATGGTGACCCAAATGTGTCAGTATCATAGGGTTTCAAATGGTTGATTTTTGGGAAGCAAATCACCAGACATTTTTCCTCCTAGTGCCTCTGGATGATCTCCAATTGTTAAGTTTTTGTGTAGCATATAAACACCATCACCTTTGCATATCTAGAGACTTCACTTTATAGCCATTCCCATCGAGCATTCTCTCATTCAGAGTAGAATTGCCCATAGGATTGCCAAGGCTGCAAATCTTTACAGAAGTAGACTGTCTCATTTTTCAGACCTCTACCATTTTTGTTAGCAGATGAATGCTTTAACTGAAGTGTCATGAGCACTCCTTTGGCAAACCCTAAGTACTCAATAAATACATGCTGAATGAATGAAGGGGGGCTCATTAAAGATATTACAGTATTAAGAGGGGGCTTTTTTGTGATTTTTTTAACAGTAAAGCTAGAGACACTAGATGAATATAATCCCCCCCTTTCTAACCTCGAAATACTATCATTTTACCACTAATACAGAGGTATGCTCTGGAAGTTCTGTCAGCGTCAAGACAGTAAGAAAAACATACTAATTTTCCCTCATGATTTTTCCCCATGAGTGAAATACCATGTCAGAGAGTTAAAATAACATCAGTGTGTGGTGTAAAAGAGAGGAATAATATATAGTAGAACCAACATACCTGTTCCTGAAATATTTTGGCCAAGGGGGCGCAATCTGTCAGTTTAATAAACCTGACCACATCAGTCACTGTCCATTCTAATGGGTTACTCTCCAGAATAAGTCTCTCCTCCTCCTCTTGTTTTATTTCCTACAGAGGAAAAGGAACAGAAGATAATTTAGCCATTTCACAATCTTTTCTAAAGCCCTCTGGGACCTAGCCAGGCTTTCCTGGACCAACCAAGAAGTTACTGCGTCCTCATCTGTTCTCTCAACTGGGCATCTTAAGACGCTACAAAGACTTTCTTTATAGAACTTCTTATCAACTTGGCTGGGTTCTGTTTCCACCTTCAGTAACTTGTGTGCCTCTTAAAAACAAAATGAGAACAAATTGAAGTCTCTAGGCTGTGACTCACAGCAACCCTTTGTCAGGTTTCTGGGACTGTAAATCAAAACAGATTGCGTCTACAGAGCTGCCAGTGGACAGGTATCCGTGGAGCCACTCCACTTCTGAGTTAGCAACTCACTATGGAATACTCTATCAGCATTCTTTGGTGTCATTAGAAGTAGGATTAGAAAACCTAAAAGCCCCTAAAACACAGTGATAGTAGCTCCTGAATCTTAAGTTTAAGAAATGTTGGACCTATTTACTAATGAAGCATCCTTGATTAAAAACAGAGATAAGGGATTTTCCAAAGACAGATGTGTCAGTCTCCCTAGTACTTTCCTTTATTTAGGGGTGGATGGTGCCATTTACTTTCTCAGAGGATTGTATACCACCCACGGGTTGAAGGGACACTATATGCATCAATATTTTATAACAACCCAGTTATCCTGAAAAGATAAAGGATTAGGAATTTTTTTTCTTTTTCTTTTCAAAGAGAGGAGCGAACTAGTGGGGAGGGGTGGGCAGGGAGAAAAGTGCAGCAATGAATGAACGGAAATCCAAAATCTCTGTGTTTATTAAAATTAATAAAAAGGGAAAAAAGATAAAGGATGAAGCAAATACAAAGGCAGGGATGGGACGCTGACATAGGACTCTGGAAAGCTGATGTTCAAAGGAACCTGCAGGCTTTGTCCTGCTCCCTTGTCTGCACCTAACGTCCTCGAGATGGGTAAGAATCTCCTGCTGTGTAAAATCATCCCAGAAAAACACATGTGCTGACTTCTCTTCTGACTCCCCTCTGTCAAGATGTAAAATTCCCAAGCCTGACATAGAAACTAGGCTAGAGCAGCTACTAACATTTCTGGCCTTTTAAATAAGTTTCCTATAAGCAGAGATCTCGTGCTTTTTCTTCTCTTCTCCCAGCTGGGGGACCACCCCGCCCGCCTTCCTCGCCACGGCCCAGGCATGTCAGTGGAAAAGCCCCTTGTGCGAGCTTTACCTCGGCGCCTTCAGACTTGGCTGCGGTGCGCTTCTCTTCCTCCACGCAGGATGGAGGAGTCTGTGCTTTTCGGGCCCTGCGCGCTCTCTCCACCGGGGGACGCCGCTCGGGCTCCGCGCCACTCCTCAGGGTCACTGCCCTCCTGGGCCGCGCGGAGGGCACCTCCACCGAGGAAGTATCTGTCTGGTCATCCCGCAGCTCGGAGCCAGTTTCCTCGCTGCCCGTGTCATCTTCCATAACATCTGGGTCCTCTTCTTCACTTTCCTAGAAGGATGAGAACTCTCCTTAAAGAATCCTAAAATTCACTACCATTTGAGTTGGTTCTAACAGAACAGAATTGCCTGCTAGTTGCTGCGCCCGTATGTAAATCTTTATTTAAACAAACTGCCTCAACTTTCTCCCACGGAGCAGCACATGGGTTCAAATTGTCCACCTTCCGGTTAAGCAGTTCAATACTGAACTGTGTCACCAGGGCTTCTTTGGTTTATAGAGAATTAGGCTAAAAGGGTGCTTCCTAAACCAATAGAGTGGACTGGAACTATAATCCAAGAGACAGACCTGGGCACTAGGTTCCATTTTCCCTCCCAGGACCGCCCTGTGCAAATCACTTGGCACTATTTGCCCGAGGAGGTCTCTGCGAATGGATGCTATTAGCTGACTAGAACTTTCCTAAATACAGTTGGTGGAAATGCTGTCTGTCAATCAAGGCAGAGGACCAAAGTTATGGAATCATTGTAGAGAAATGATTAAATGGACACATAACTGTTGTGTAAGCCTTTGCTGAGAACACAACCTATTAGGCAGCGGGGCTTTTCTCCCTTCCACCTTCTAACCAGTCAGCTTAGCGGCAGACCTTGAAATCAAGTTCTATTTGCCACTTGGGGCCGTTAAGTCAAGCCTGACGCCCAGGAGGTGTTCCTCAGGAGGCCGTACCTCCCCGGACCCAGCTGTGAAATCCACAGTGGACGATCTCCTCTTCTTCTGCACAAAGATGGATTTTCGTCTCTTCCTACGTCTCGCTGGTTTAGGGTGCCCACTTTCAATGTTGTTCTCGCCAATTGGCGGCTTAATGATCTTCTTCCTCTTTCCATAATAATAAGCTACAGGAAGAAAGAGGATTTAAAAAACATTGTAACACACTAAGCAAATATACACAGACATAATGGCAGGCACAGGGGCATATTTAGTAAGAAAGTGCACAGAGAAGAGAGGGAGAGGAGGAGAGGACAGATAAAGAGGGAGCGAGGGAGACCATTCTCTCATTGCAGGTAATAAAAACTTGGCTGCTTCTTTGTCCTCTGCATCAGAAAATAAACTCTTAAGAAAGAAGTTTTCCAGAGAGGAAACCCTTCCCCCGTGTCCACCTGTTCAGATGGTGAATGTATTAAACACGTCCACAGTTCTTATAGCATATTCCCTCTGTCTTCTTTTCCTATACAAAATACTACAAATGTGTCCCACTGGAGTGCTGTGACCACTGATCTCCCTGTCTCCATCTTGAACAAGCCAATGGCCATCTCCTAGAGTGACCTGATCAAGATTGACTTGCCGCACCATTGATCTGACCAAGATAAACTGGTGACCTTACACACACACACACACACACACACACACACACACACACACACACACCCAGTACTACTGAGTCAGACTCAGCTCAAGGCTGACCCTCCAGCAGGTATTCAGAGGCTGTAAAATGCACATGAGCAGATCGATTGCCCTCCTTTCTCTTGTGGAACTACTGGTGGGCGCAAACATCGAGAGAAGACAGCTTTAGGTTAACAGTGAGACTTTGTAAGGACTAACGTGTCATTTTTCTTTTCAAGAACTGTTCCTTCCTAAGTACATGCTTTATTCTCCTATGAAGTAGAAACTCTATGTATTTATCAATTCTATGATGTTCTTGTTAGGTAGTACTGAAATGGTGACCCTGCCACACTCTCTAAATTGTATAGCAGGGATATATCTATAACTACATCAACACTTACAGCACTCAACAAGAAATGATTTACTGATTTTCAATAAGAAGTAATGTTTACAAAGTCAAGGCATAACCAACTAATTCAGATCATGAAGAATTCAATATTGATCTACCTAAGATCATGATCAAATCAGTTTACTTACCTTACCAAAGGTGCTACTGTTCTACTATTTGACTCCTTCTATTCCATAAAGGTACCACATATAGTAGACAAACAAACAAAAACCCACTGCCATGGAGAATGATTCCACCTCATACCAGCCCCATAGAAGAGAGCAGAATTGCCCCAAGGTTTCCCAGACTGTAAATATTCACAGAAGCAGACTGCCTGATCTCTCTACCCTGGAGCATCTAGTGGATTCACTCTGCTGACCTTTTGGCTAGAAGCCCCATGTTTATGCTCTGGTGCCAAGAGGGCTCCTCAAGTAAAGCAAAGAAACCTTTCCCTATGGGTGGAATGAGTCAAAAGAAGAACAGTGTAGTAGACTCCAAGTTCACAGTGGCTCCACAAATGAAGCATGGCTTACTCACTGCCATGCCTCAAGCTGTATTCTACGGATGCATTAGCTAGCCTTTCTCGACCTCAGGGGTGTTTTTTGCTATGCACTCTGTGAATTACACGGAGGTGATCTGCAGCCCATCACTGGGATGGTGCAGGGTTATGCAGAGTTTTGGGGTTGCTTTTTTTTTTTCTGTGTATTAGGGTTGCAACAGCCTTTATAAGTACTAATAACAATATGGACCTCCCTTAGGACTAACATTCCCCATTTCCTATCCTCTCAGTTGAATTTGATCTAAACAGATGGCATTTACAAAAACTTATGGGAAACTACATTATCACAGCCTTCTAATGTACTGAGAAGTACGCTTGCTCTGGAAAGCATGAATATGCTCTAATCAACCTCTTGAAGAAGAAGAAGGCTGCAAAGAAACCAGGAATACCATCCTGTATCTGTCGTTCTGCTGGGGCCATAGTCCTTGATGAGCATGTATGAGTGATTACTGGCAAGAACGTGCATCAAAGGTGATCTCTAGGTGCTAGAAGCAAGCGAATAAGCACTTGCCCGCCCCTACTCAGAAAGCCCAAGCAAACAAGCCAAGTAATACTGGGAACCAAAAATCGTTTTACTGAAAGCTAGTGAAGTTACAGGACAGTTTTAGAGCCTTATACTAGTTGACTCCTGCCCTCACTGCTCTCAATTCTCTATATTGTCTCATTAGTCTTCTGCTGGGGCTGTAGTTCAATCATTAGCCATGTTCCCTGTGTGCTGACTCAAGAGCTTTTAGAATTATCAATTTTTATAATGCCAGATCCAGAAAAATGTTTGAATTCATCTTGGGCTGCTTCTTCTCACATCTTGCATGTATAAAGCAAGCAGCCCATCTTTTTTTTTTTTTCCATGCAGCCCATCTTAAAGGTAAACACTCTAGGTTGAGCTCAGCCCTCAGTCAACTTCTTTTTCACTCAGAAGGCTCCTTTTTTCACCTTTGTTTTTGACTCAAAAGAGAAGATGTGTCACCAAGTAGCCTGCTTTTGTGAGTCACTCCTCACTCCTCGGCTGCTTGTGAAGTAAAGACAAGCACCCCAGAGAGTCGGCTCCCCAGACACACTTGCTGTCTTACATGAGCAGACGTGGGTGGACTGAAATGGAGCACACTTAAACAAACAAAAGAAAGAAAAAGAGCTGACTGAGATTGAAAAGAGATCCTAAAAAATCTGTGTGTCTACAGAAAATAGAATGAACTTCACAGTCTGAAGAGTGTTTCAAGCACATTTAGATTTTTAATTGCAACAAGTCACAGAGGACTGCTGCTCAGAGCACCTACCACACTCGGTCTTTGTCACAGCGACAGTCAGGTGAACACAGAGCAAACTTCCAGGTCACTGAGTGAGACGCATTTGACCTCGCACATTAGCGGTAAATGAGGGAAGACACAGAAAGATCAGAAGAGGGTGAGAGAGAACAATTCATATCTTGAGATATCTCAGAGTGACTAAAGTTCATGGAAAGAGAGGTCATCATAGCAGAAGGCAGTGTTTCTGGAAGCCTATCAGCAGAAGCCAAAACCAAAGTAAATCCCAAGTGGTAAAACAGTGGCTGTGATTGTTGTTATGTGCCACTGTGGGGCAGACTCAAAATCATGTAATCCCATCTGGATCAGAATAGAAGAAGTAGAGTCCACATGGTTTTCAAGGCTGCTCTGTCAGAAGCAGGCTGCCATGCCTTTTGTCAACCCAAAAGCCTCTGGGTTAAAGTTTGAACACCAGGGTTTCCATCTGCAGCTGAGTCCTTAGCAGCCTGTGGCACCCCATTAACAGAGGCAGAAGTAAGGGAACTGGATGGTGTAGGGCAGAAAAGGCAAGTGCTGAAAGAATAGAAAGTGTCAGAGTAAGAGGGAAATGGGAATGTGGGAACAACTGAACTGAGTCATCATGGAGGAGCAATGAAAACTAACAATTTCTTCTGAATCTGCAAATTGATCCACCAGAGACAGTTTTGAGGAATGTGGATTAAGCAACGGGGAAGTAGATTAAGTCAAGGATGTTTCCCCAGGGTAAGGAAGAGCAATCAAAGAATCATTATCATTTCTCAGTTCAAGTAATTCTGGTTACTAACCATTACTAATAATTACTTTTATCACACTCTTCTTTCAGCTATATCGTTTATGAACTCTATTCACTAGAATTCATTTCTCTTCTTTCATTCCTAACCATCCACATCCCTATATAATACACATATTTATTTGCCACAGCAAATCTTAAGAAGTCTTGAAAACAAACAAAAAGATCTGTATAAAGAACAGTACAAAATACTCATTTGAGAAATAATAAAAACCTAAATAAGTGGAAAAATATTGCCTATTTATGGATAAGAAGACTCAATACAGTGACAATTCTACCAAAAGTAATCTACATGTTCAATGCAATTCCAATACAGACACCAAATTAATTTTTCAAGGAGATAGAAAGGGAAATTGTCATGTTTATTTGGAATGGTAAGGTACCTTAAGTAAGCAAAACACTTCTGAAATACAAAGATGGAGTGGGAGCCATAGCACCTCCTGACCTCAAAACCTACTACACAGCAGTAGTAACCAAAACAACATGGTACTGGTACAGTGAAAGGCACATAGACCAATGAAACAGAACTGAGAACCTAGAAATGGACCCAGCCATCAATGGTTACCTGATATTCAACAAGGAAATTAAACCTCTCAAATGAGGTAATGACAAACTCTTCAACAAATTGTGCTGGCAAAACTGGACTGCTACCTGCAAAAAGTTGAAATAGGTTCCACATCTCACACCATACACAACAATCAACTCAGAGACCTGGGGGTAAACCCCAAACCCTAAAGTTCACAAGAGACAATCAGGGATCAAGCTTAGTCTAAGGGATAAATAGGCTGACAAACAGCCACAAATGTACAATCCAGAGAGGATATAATTTATGAATGAGACTTTTAAAGATTAAATTCCTGTAATATTTGTCCCTTTGTGACTGGGACATTTCAAAGGGACAAATATTGCATGGTGCCACTGTTGTAGAATGGGACTGTCCTTGGGGTTGGGGAGGGACTGAGTAAGATGGGTTCAATAATGTATGCTGCTCTGAAACAGAGAAGGGAGAAAACTGTTTAAAAGAGATATGTGATTAGGTATTTCTGTCATCA